GTATACGCCCCTATATAACGGGTTACTCCACGTGCAAAAAAGCGGGACCATCCGGGAAATAACGGGATGTACCGACAAAGCGACACCTGCTGTCATAATATGAAAACAAAATATTGCAACTCGCATTATGCTTACTGTCAACTGCTTAGATGTACTTCCTTTTGACATAGGCAAATATTTATGTAAATTTAGAACAATGAATCACCTATTACCAATCGAAAAAGGCAGACATTTGGCAATTGATCATAATAATAGGGTCTGTTCCTTATGTCCGTATCAAGCTATTGGTGATGAATTTCACTACTTATTTGAATGTTCGTACTTTAATGACATAAGACGTAAATCTCTTCTTCCCAGGTTTTACATTCATCCCAATATTTTTAAACTTGACACATTAATGAATAGTTGTGATAAAAATATTCTACTAAAATTATCTTTATTTTGTAAAAATATTATGTTAAAATTTAGATAACTAATACTTCTCATTCTCCGTTCCCATTTGTTACAATATAACATACATGTTGTATTGAATTCAGTACTTGAAATGAACAATATGATCTCCTTTTTGTTTATTTAGCTAGTCATAATTGTATTTTTATATTGTGATATTAGTGATTTTTGACTGTTATTTTTCTGTTTGTTTGTTATAACCAGTTGCATATTATATGCCTTGGTTTAATAAAAACTGAAACTGAAACTGAAACTGAAGCTTAGTGCGTACTGTACATAACATGCGACTATAATATCGCTATCGTTGTCATCTTCGTTGTCGATGCGCAGTGATCTGTATTGCATTATATTTGTAATCAGTGAATATATTGAAACATTTGAATGCTTAGACAGATCGAATTCGCCAAGTATTGATCAAAATCAATTATTAATTGTGAAATAGTGTCGACAATGTAAGTGGCAGATTTATAACAAATTAAAGGTACCGTCAGGAACTTGCCATTTTACATCTAGTTATATCAAGAACAAGCAAAGAATGTTCTTTTAAACACAGAACATAATACGCTGTCCTAAATAAAAGATGAAAATAAACATAAAGCATATCGTCGGTGTGCTTAGAAAAGGCCTTATCTGCAAAATTGCTACTTTTCAGGAGATGGAAAAAACCGTCTAGTTTTGGTAGGGAAACACCCACAGAAATGAAATTAACAGATAATAATGAGCATTTAAATTCATTTTAGATACATTTAATTCGGTTATGATAAACCCTGCTGTTTCATAATAAATGTTCATAAGTCCTTTTCACATGGCAAAAATGGCCAAATAGGTGTCTCAAATGGCCTTATAAGGCCCTTTCGCACACGTTAACATACTCTTGTTAAGTTCATAATGGCATAAAGAGACACATATTACCAGTACAATTCATGTATGTTCCTAAAGTAATTCAAGGATTTTGGGAATAAAGTGTTATTATGTTTTAAGACAACAAGAAATATTGAAAAATGAAACAAAAAACCTACAAATATTCCAAAACATTAAACATTTTTATTTGTTTGGGTCGTCAGACCAAAACAAATAATGGTAGCAAAATTTCAGACTCTAATGCTGTTAATTGCAAATGCCGAAAGTAGTCCGGTTTTTGAAGCGGTTACTTCCCTTTATATGTAACACTTTGTATACTGCTCAATAACCATGCAAATAAAATCATCAATCCTAATACCAAGTTCTTAAGTTCTAAGGGCTTTATGCCTTCAAATAAGCAAAACATTTAATAAATGTAAAAAAGGTTTGAAGAAAAGTATAATGATTTAAGTAAAAATTTTAATGTTTTTGGTCAAATAATGCCTGTTTTACAATTTTTATTACAAAATTTTATTGCATGACTGTTATCTTTGCATATTTTGTTCTCTTTTTGAAAATTCAACTGGATGTAAAGTGCTGTTTGAACTTTGTTTTACTTCTTTTGTTGTTCACTTCACAGTATTTTAACATTTCAAAAAAACATTTCGAAATTTTAGTGAAAATAAGCATGAATCTAGATATATACGGTCAATTGAAAACAAAACATTTCGAGTAAAATGGGCATTTTCTCATTTTCTAATTATTGCTCTCCATATTTAATAAAAAATCATGTTATTAATATGCTGCTACATGACAAACAAAAAGGTATTTAGCAAATACTAAAAGTGTCACATCAAAAGCACCAAGTCATTTTGTTCTAACAAGTATTTCCCTGCCTAATGCTTTCATACAATCTCCATATCGTAAAGTTCTTCAAGAAATCATGCCTACATGTATTTTTATTGAACCTCATATGGGTAACCCGGGCGAGCAGTTTTATAACCGTGAGCGTCAGTGGCCGTTAACTTCAAAGCACTTGCCCTCACCACTATGGGTTCGAATCCCGACAGAGACTTTAGATTATTTCATGTGAGGAAGCTATCCAGATAGCTTAAGGAACGTCTGTGGTTCTACTTAGATGCCCGTTCGTGCCTAAAATAATGAACGGAATGGCAACTGAAGTCTTCTTCAATGAGTTAAGCTGGGTGGAACATTGCCATAATATTATATGACCTATACTGTGTCAGTGTAACGTAAAACCCAATCAAACAAACATAGTTAACAAGAGAATAGATAAGTGTGATTTTAAGTTTCCCTTCAATTTGACTACGCCCACCTCCATCCTACCCTAGCCATATTGTATAAGCTTCTGTGATATCCTGACATTATATTAGATTGCAAGTCTTTACTAAGAATTTCCAAGTGTCAATTTTTGGTATTGGTAACAAAAACATTATTTCATTTACTTTATTGTCTTCAGTCTAGATGTTCTCCAAGAAATTGTTTAAACAAAAACCATGATACTTTTTGCATTGTTCACATTATTTTCCGGTTTCTCTTTTTCGAAAGAGTTTACAGTAGATTGACGACCTTAGTAATTTACTGGACTTTGACAGAAGATGTAGTGTAGTCCAATGTCCTTCTTTGTGGCATTTAGCCTGAAGCAAAACAGACACTTGCGATAAAACCGCAAGCCCTACCCACCGGTTTAGTCACACGAGATCGCTGAAGTCTTTCAAAAAATATGATTTCTGCCAGAAGTTGTTCTCTTTTTTGTTACATTTTATGCCATCACTATGCAGTTGTTACAAATCAAATAGTCCATATTTCAATATTGAACACTTATCATGAGGGTGGTCATCAGACACCTGTAATAAAGTGAAATGGTAGAAAACAATTTTATGATTATAAAATTAACGTAGCAACCATCTTACATAACATCCCAGTTAAGTCGGATGATGATAAGTACGTGTTTTGTCTTTTAATAACTCTAATCATATTCTTAATGAGAATCCTTATAAAAATAAACTATTCCAAATCTATGTGGTATTAAGCCAATATTATATATTTTTTATTGATTTTAATTTACAAGCAGTTGTATATTTATTTATGTAAGTATTACCTTTTTAAAGAAAACTATATGTTATTTCCCCGAGAAAATAAATGCCTACCAGTCTAGGATGTGATTGTCATCTTTAAACAAGCTGAAAATATAAATAAAAGTAATCATTATTATGTATGAATATTAGGAACATAAATATTGTCTTACAAAATATATAAGAAAATGCCTTATAAGACAAATCTTTCCAAAAAATGAGCATGCAAAAACGCCCTATTACATATAAAAGTTATTTAAACAGCTTTAATGTAGCTCAGATTTATCAGTTTGATACATTTTGGTGTAAAGAATGAAAATAAAATCTAAAGTTAAAGAAAAACAAGTTAAAAATAGTTTTCTTAGCATAAAATTTCACCTAGCTGACAAGCGTTGTATGTAAAATTCCCATTGCCCAATGTATTGATGGTTTTATTTAATATATAACTACATACTATACGAAACAAATCATTATTTCCACTGTCAAATAGAAAAAGCATACCTGATCTTTGAATCTTTCATAAGAAAACCCGCGTTTCCTCCGTTTTAATTTTCTAATTTCACTCAAAAAAATTATCGGGCATTTTCGCGGAACAAATTTTTCATCCAAAAATTATACGTCTTTTTCTTACATGGCAATAAATTCATTTTCCGATTGGCTATCTAAACGGGTGTTTTCGCATAATGCGCGCCTCGGTTTGTTTGTCAAGAAAATGACCTAAAACGATTTTCGCAAAAATTGAGATAGGGCCTTTTCGAAGCACACCGACGATATTAAAATATTATTTTTGTGAGTTTGATGGTTCAGAAAGGAACACATGAAGTTGCAATTACATAATAGAGCATAAAGTAATCATAATGCAAGATTGTATTCGGCAAAACGTAGGTTCCCACCTGTACGAAATGTTACGCCCGGAATTGGGGCGGAATTTCGGCACGGATTACGCCCAGAAAGTTTAAATTCCTTTAAAATTTTCAGTATATGATAAGGGTTCATTTTACGGGCGGATTCTGGGCGGAAATGGCACGGAATTTGGCACGAAATATGTAAATGAGCAGGAAAAAATTCCGTGCGGAATTTTGAACAGAATTTTAGGCACGGAACTCTTGGCACGGATTCTGGGCGGAAATGGCAAGGAATTTGGCACGAAATATGTAAATGAGCAGGAAAAATGTCCGTGCGGAAAACTGGCACGGAATCTGAGCACGGAATCTTAGCACGGAATTTTGGCATGGAATAATCAGAGCAAAATTTCATAAACAGTTGTTTTTTTTTATTATATTTAATTTAATTTAGGATGACCATTTTGTCATGTACTTTGGACCATTGATAATTAAATAACTGGCTAAACAATTGTATTTAGACTATCTTAATTAAAGATATGCACCCAAAAATTATAGTTTATATGTAATAATTCATTCAATATTCATGAAGTAAACTTTCTCTATAAGCTTATGAGTAAACATACATGTATGTTTATATGATTATTCTCTTAAAATCACATAATCAGATCTAATTGTATTTCAATAATCCAAGTTAAGATATGAAAATTATCACAGTTTGTTTTTCTTCACAAATAAAAGATATCCTTTTTGTCTACATACAGAATACATCCTACATTAACTTGAAGTGTCACAAACAGCTTTTTTATTGTGCAAGTATCTGAACATGACTTTTGTAGGTTCTGCTGCTTTCTTTGATCACCTTGATTTCAACTATTATGTTGTCTGTCACAAACCAACACTTTCTTTCAAACTGATTATCAAAACCACAATTTTTCCTCATTATATGTCAGCTGAGAACGTCCTGTGCAAGTGTTTCCTAGTGGCACGTCTTGTAGTTGCGTTCACCTTTAAGGACAAAAATTACAATTGATTTAAAAAGAATGGAAACAAATTCTGTTCTATGGTAAAATATAATTGTGTTCCATCATAATATTTCATCTGGGGTGTTAAAACACTGAACTCAAGCAAATGCAGTTTCAAAAATACTATAGCAACATCATTTCACAGAAAGCAAATGATGTAAAAAATTGCCCATTATGAGTACTTTAGTAATTACACTTTTGATGTCAAAATTGATAATCTTTACATTATCTGGGAAACAATTGTACTCTAAAAATGGTATGTTCAGATATTTAAAAATACATGTAATTACCTTTTCAGACTCCAAGGTTGTGAAATATTGCTGATACTATAAACACTAAGTTGGCAAATTTTCACAGTCTGCAATGGCCCAGTCTGCAATTATATATTCTCATAATTTAATTTTTTTTTATTGTATGTATATTATAACATGTGAGATCTTATAGAAATTTAGCACTGTAAAACATAAACTGACAGAGGCCAGTCTATGGACCATGACCTTTAAACAAATAGTTTTATCAACATTACTTTATAGTTATCAACCTTATTTTATAGAAACAATTTTTGCTTACTGCCACAATATAATTGGATTGTTTATAATAACCATTTTTTGCATAAATGTATCTAAAAGTTGTTTACCTGAAACTTTTTACTATGATTCTTTTTGTATAATCTTCCTTCCTCAGTTCACGTCTTAGTTCATTTACAACAACGCAAACATTTCCACACAATCTTGTCCCACATTTAGATAAATGTTTTCTTTGGAAAATTCCAAAAAAATATGTACACAACATTCAAAAACAAAATGTAATCTCCAAAATTTTGGACAAGATCCTTTGTGGTGGCATTCAATAAGCAGCTGACCCGTATATCTGAGATTTCAAATTGTTCAACAGTTTAAACTGGACGGACAGGTCCATCATTATGTGAAACAGGGATTTATGCAAAAATATCAAAACAGTCCCACCATCTTATTTTTTACATTTATTGAGTGTAAAAAACATATCAAATGATAAGTAAATGTAGAAATTTGAAAATCAATAATAAGTTTTTGAAAGAGAATCAAAGTGTCAATTACCTTCTTAACTGATTGTTTTGAAATGTATACTGCTCAGACTACCTTAATAATCACATGGAACAGTCTGGTCAGTATACCAGAATGCCCCATCAGGAGATTAGTCATGCATAGATAGAGAGGGAAACACAAGTGTTTATCATTAGCCTTATCTGATCTTAACCTTAGTGTCTGTAGTATTTATTTATCCTGACTTAAGCACACAGTGGTTACTATTATATTTAACACATTAATTGTGCATGTATATAATGGGCAATAATGATTATACGTATATGTGTTTATTGTACACAATCATAAACCTAATGACAATAATTAATATATATGTGTTTATTGTTCATAATAAACTAAGTGGAAGAGTAAAGTGTAAATAATCTAAATGTATGTCTACAAACTTGCTAGTAGATTATGTACTATTTTATATGGCATTTAAAACATAAATTAAAGTTTAAGATATCATTCTTAAATTATTTAACAATTAATTGCTTTCATGCTACCAAGAAATTAAAAATCTATAGATAGTTACACTGCAGGAAAGAATTACTCATGCATTTAGATAAAAAAAATGATGTAATAATTTAATTAAATAGCATACAATTTACATTTTACTTCAGTAAATTTAGTAATGTATATAGTACTCCAAATAAGTTATGTGATATAGAAAATTGAATAAAATCTAGCATTAGATTTTAGCTCTTTTGAAAATTAATAATGTTTGACAAAATCTGTTTAAATAACAGATGTAAATAACACTTTGATTATTTCACCAATTATCTTTTAATTGCTGAATTTCCATTCTTGTGTACTGATTTAATGAAGTATTCAGTGAAAACTTCCAAACAAAAAATTCTAAGTGTAAAATAATTCCACCTCAAATGACTAAGATTGAAATTAAGCCTGACAGAAAAATCAAAGTTCTGAATTCCGCCCCATTCTATCTCAAGAAAAAGTTAAGTTTGAAATTCCATCCAACTTTGAAGATAAAATGTACAAGTACAAAATTCCGCACGTAATAAAATTCCGCCCGTAATGGTTCTTGTTTTACGCCCAGAAATGTTTTCCGTGTGGGGCGTACTGACACGGAATTTGCTTTTCCGTGCTTAGTCCGCCCAGAAAGCAATGATTCCATCCCAATTCCGTGCCATTTACGCCCAGAATCCGTGCCAAAATTTCGTACAGGCATCGTCATAAAGAAGTATGGCAGCAAGCATAATGAAAGTCCCAATATCATCAAGCAAGATGGAATAAATGCAATAATTCTGTTCCATACACTTCTTAATAGTATATGGGAACCATAATAGGACAGGGAACCAGATTACGCTTTGCTACCAATCCATTCGGAACTGCCTCGGCTATTATCTATAATATTCGGTCCTTATCCGAAGACTGACGGAAAGGGCCGAGTAGTTGCGATTGCTACCAATCGCAACTACTCGGCCCTTTCCGTCAGTCTTAAGGAGTAATTTTTTAGATAATAGCCGAGGCAGTTCCGAATGATATGTCAAAAAACATGTGGCGCGATTTGAAACATCTCAAATCATGTAAGTATTTATTTTACCATAATTAAAAATAAAAAAGATGGTCTGATATCACATAGCGATCAGAAAACCCATTACACGCCATAATCCTGAAGGTCATACTTACTGTATAGTTCATATGGTTGGAATTGGCTTAACATTGAATTATATACAAATTTCTCGTGCACAACCTGGCGACTGAAAGCACAGACACTTGGGGTTATGTGCATGGGGTTATGTGCATGGCTCCCACTTGTTTACACCATGCCTATTTTTATCATGCAAACCGTACATCAAAATATTTTTGTATATTATTACGACCTGGTCACAGGCACGAGTATCGGACCTGGGAAGAAAAAATATGACCAGATTGATAAAAAAACCTGTGTTCATCTTAAAAGTGTCAAACCCCCCCCCAAAAAAAATGTAAATAATGACCCCCTTTAAAAATATACTATAAGTTAAGAGAAGGCCGGAAACTCCAGATTCGAGCCTACGAGCAAGGGATTCATTTCCCGGGTCGTTGTGAAAACAATTGGCCAGACAATTAAAAAAAAACTTTTATCACTATTTCACGTTTATATTATTAGCTTCAAAATGAGACCAACCCCAAGTCTCTAGCCCTTCCCGTTCATGAAATATCTATCAGGAAACGAGCGACTTCGTGCTAAAAATCCTTGGTAGACAGAATTGCGGCACAACAATTTGGTACGTAAACATAGACTAATACATGTATGTCAGCTGATTACGGGTCAAAATTACTTGAATTTACTTCATATTACTAAATACATTCAGTGATTTTTTTACAAACTCATCAGTGTGGGTCCTTAGTACTCGCTGGGCTATAAATCTATGAGTCCCATAATTTAGCCGACAAATCCAAGTTACAAATCTTAATACTGCTTAAGTGATATGACAGGTTATTACCAATGGAATGGAGAAAAAAATGAATTTGATTTCTATATTAATTACAATGCTTCTGATACTGAAATTATTCAAAACTGTCAAATAAATTTAATATGTTTATTTCCATTAATAGACCCTTCTTAATATTACCTCATACATATTCATAGATTTCTCAGAGCGAGGCTAACAGGGCAAGCTTCGTATCTGCCCTATGTAAACATATCAACAATATGTGGTCGAAAGATTTTTTACAGTGTCAGAGATCTTGATAATGTTCTGTTTGCTACATACTTGTTGAGAACTATATTTAATATTACAAAAATCTCTTCTGGAGATAAATAAATCAACAAAGGGTTTAATTAACACTATATACAGTGAAGGGCATACAAGACCTGATAAGTCAATTAAAGTTTATGATAACTCCAAGTAATTTCATATATTCTTTGTCAGTATAAATATCAGGTTAACTCTTTGCAACTTAAATTGACATTATCTGCGTTATCAGTATTGTATTGCTAACCTAAACACATGTTGGTCAAGAGTGTATAAAGCAATTAACTGATAATAGATGTAAACAGTTGGATGCTGAATTCTGTACCATACTTCCCCTATATTTAGCTATTGAAATAAAAAAAATTAAAAAAGTTTTATTCACTTTGTATTTAAAAGTAAAAAATTCTGGATGACTCTCTAGAAACTGGTTAATTTTACAGACAGCCTTATCAAATCAAAATAGTATTTTGTATAAACATGACATCCCCGTCTTATACATTTCAATGGATTTTCAGTATCATAACACATATGTTGTTTACAGCAATGTAAAAATACATTTCCTGCTAAGTAAGAAACGTAAAATTTATATGTTATCAACTATTTAATTAATTACAGTATAAAATACTTAGTATATAACGAAATACAATCATTTGATTGCAAATATCAGTCAAATCTTAAGCCGAAGCTGAAGTATCATTAGATTATTGCACTTGTCCAGTTGGTCCGACTTAATTATGTGGTCATATTGTTGGAACCCTCTACTGGCCGGTATATAACAAACTATTGGGGAACACGGCACTTCCGGAGGATGTTGCGTGGACTTACCAACCCCAAATATTCCATGTACTTTGGGGACTGAACATTCGTAGAAAACCTGTGCAATAATTTGCAGTTGGAGGGTATTAGGAAAGGCACCATCGAGTTTTAGCACTTCTTTTAACATTCCAAGACTATATATATATATATATATATATACATGTATATATATAGACTATACCTGTATATATATTCTCTCAACAATATAATGCAATAAGAATGTAATTAACATGTTGACATATTCCCTGCACCATATATGTAACAAAGCACAATGTTAAAAACAAAGTAATGCGATGATTTCTTTTTAATTTTTTATTTAAATTCAAGGCGCAAAAGACTGAACAAATGGTCCTTTAAAATATGCGAAAAAACATTTCGTAATTCAAGCTGATTGTTTTGCTTGCTTTTAATGTTTTGCTGATGTTTTATAACATTGAAAATTGTAATGAATATATAGTAAATTTTGTTGGAAATCCTGCATAACAATACAAAAAATACAACTGTCAACATTTGAAAATTTGTTTGGATCAAACGTTTAATATCACTGTTTGTTTTCTTCCTTAGTTTTCTGTAATTCTTCTTTGAACTGTTTGATAGTTTCTTTTTCATCTGTTATGTCATTGCCATGAAGAGATATTATAATCAAAGGCGATTCAAATATCAGTTGTCAATTTGTGTTCATGACTGTTACCAGTGGAATTCCTGAAAAATATAAACCTTTTATTTAGAAGTGGAAACAAGAATTATCACATTTCTAGAATATATCAATTTATATTTCAATTGCACAAATATCTTTTTACAGGGGCTGAACTTTGTTTATGTGTAAAAAAATGAAAATTAAGTCTTGTGTATACCTTTCATCTGGTCTTTAGTGTTCATCTTACTGGTCTGTTCATTATTACTCCAGTCGAACCATCTACAGCTAGGGTACATCTATTCTCTTCAGACATATATGAATTTATGTCCATGATGTGTGAAATGCTTCAAAACGAGCAACTATTGCAAAATATTGATCTGAAATAGTACATAAAATAACTGTTATTGCTTTTTAGTATAAAAACGGTATTGATTTAGATTCTGAAGCAATTATGTTTTA